ATAAAAATATCTTTATATAATACACATGTCTAACAATTCACATATATCATGTATGTTTGTATGCATGTTTTGCTATGTGTATTCAATGTGGTAAACATGCACATTCATTTTAGAAGCATTATAATTTAGTGGTTAAGTGCATGGCTCCTAGAGTCAATCTGCCTGGTATGTACTTACCAGCTATGTAGCCTTGAGCAAGCTACTTAACCTCTCTGTGCCTTAGTTTTCTTATCTGTAAAATGGAGATAATAGTACTTACTTCACAGGATTTCTGTGAAGATTATTGAGTTAATCCATGTTAATATTTAGAATAGTCTCTGGCACCTGCTGAATGCTCAATAGATGTTAACTACTACATTGTGCTCAACCAGTATTTGGACTCATCTATAATAATAAAAGCATAATATGCTAATTAGACCGGACAGCCGAACAACCTTTGGGACGTTATTCTGAATGTCCTTCCAGAGGAAGCCGCAGCAGAGAGGGCCGAGGCAGAGGTGGTTAGGGGCGATCAGGCAGGCACAGTTGTTAGGGGCGATGAGGCAGACAGTCAGGCCAGTGGTCCCAGATTGCAGGAGGCAGTTGGACATCCCCCAGGGGTCCTGGATTTGCAAGAGGGTGCAGGCCGGGCTGAGGGACCTCCCCCCAACCCCCACATACTAATTTCCTATACGAGGCCTCTAGTAAGATTATAATGGAACTAAACTTTCTGTAAGAAATAAAAGGATATGTGGTTTAGGAGTAATTTTTTTCTCTGATGGAATTAGTATCAGTGGGGCTGGGCAATAGGTTCCCTCTCACTCACTGCACCTGTTTTCAGTGCACAGATGACATCCTATCAGTAACCACTGACTTGTTTCAGCACAGAGGAGCCTAATCCCCCAGGACTACATGTTCAGCCTTCCCAGATCTAACCTGATGGTCTTCAGAGTACCTTGCTGTAAATTGTTGAGGACCTACGATCCTGTACAAGGACACAGGTCTACAGGAGCAACCATAGAAAGTACGAAGTGCCACTGTCATATTAGTAAAAGCTTTCTGTGGTATTGTGGAGCCAGCCTGCCCTGTACTTTGGATATATTTTCAGATTGTAATGATGTAAAACATAGTTAAGTTTTGTTTCTTCCATAAATTCAATGCCACAGAGAACCTTTTGTGCTAGATAGGGCTAATGGAGCCAAAATCAAAGTCAAAAGATTGAGTCCTGCTGAAACCAGTTTGGCTCAGTGGATAGAGCATCAGCTTGTGGACTGAAAGGTCCCAGGTTCGATTCTGGTCAAGGGCATGTACCTTGGTTGCCAGCACATCCTCAGTGGGGGGTGTGCAAGAGGCAGCTGATCGATGTTTCTCTCTCATCCATGTTTCTAACTCTCTATCCCTCTCTCTTCCTCTCTGTAAAAAAATCAATAATATATCTATCTATCTATCTATCTATCTATATATATATAGATATAGATATATAGATAGATAGATAGATAGATAGAGTCCTCAGTTCTTCACCCTCTCCATGTTGGACATCCTCATTTTTTAATGAATGCTACAAATTTCTTTAATATGACCACTGCTCCAACATGCAATAGTCAAAACCATATGGCCATGATAATCTCCTATATTAATCTCTCCATCTTGATTTCTCATTTCTACTGATCCTCAGGCCACCTTTAACTCCCTCTTGACAGTCACTATTATGGTGATCTACATCTTACCCAGCCAATTTCTCTTTGAAATTTCCAATCCATCCAACCCACATCCCTGTTCATGGAGCAGCCTTGACAACTTGAATGTTCTATTTCTGACCCTGTCAAAAGGAAGGAAGAGAAGGGCATGTGGGGGCAGTATTTATAAAGTGTACGGTATTGTACAGTAATATTCTAGGCCTTTACATTCACCCAGAGCAACTTCCAGTCCTGCAAGAGCTATTTATAGTAAGTTCCCGAAACAGGTGCACCATTTAAAAACTCTCTTGTGCTGCATCTTTACTGTAGCTCTTTCATGCTTAGATATGTTTAGATACAAATACCATTGTGTTACACTTACTTACAGTATTCAGCACAGTAACATAATGTATAGGTATAACCTAGGAGCAATAGACTGTATTACATACCTTGGTGTGTAGTAGGCTACACCATCTAGATTTGTGTAAGTGCACTCTATGACATTTGAATAATGATGAAATCTCCTAACAACATATTTCTCAGAATTTATCTCCATCATTATACAATGTATAACTGTATTATTTTATCATCTAACTTAATCTTCTATCCATTTCTGGGACAGTTCCTAGCATATTGGTGCTCAGATTCTAATTTCCTTTTCTGGACCCTTCACAAAGGCAATGTGAGCTGCCCTCTTATTACACCTCCCCATGCTCCCCAACAAATTACAGCTTTAACTGTCTTGGCTTAGCTACACCATCTGGAAGAGTGGTTGCCTACCCAGACAAGCAAGCAAGGAGGGTGGGTGCAAGAATACTGTAGAAGGCCGAAACCTGTTTGACTCAGTGGATAGAGCATCGGTCTGCGAACTGAAAGGTCCCAGGTTCGATTCCGGTCAAGGGCATGTACTTTGGTTGCGGGCACATCCCCAGTAAGGGGCGTGCAAGAGGCAGCTGGTCGATGACTCTCTCATCAATGTTTCTAACTCTCTATCTCTCTCTCTTCCTCTCTGTAAAAAATCAATAAAATATATATATTTTTTTAAAAAAAGAATACTGTAGAAGTAGAACCCATGAGGATTGGCATTTCATTAGATAAAAAGGTATAAAGAAGAAGCAGGAACTAAAAATGGCCTTGAAGCTTTTCACCTGGGTGACTTTGTAATGGTGGTGAAATTTCCCAAACAGGAACAATGGAGAAGGGGCAGATTTCATAGGGACTATAAATAAATTCAACTTGTTTTGCCATCTTAACTTGGAGATGCTAGTGGTGTAAACAAGTGGTGATATCTAGCAGAAAGATGAAAATAAGAGCTGGATATCAAGAAAAGCGGGTGCTTTCAGTGCTGCTAGAGGCATCTGACATCTTGGAAGCTGATGTGATTTGTGGGGGAGAACTTCCATTTGAGGGCTGGTGGCTGCAGACACCTTTTGAATATTTCCATCTTCCTGTCCTGCGGAAGTCACAGATTCAGCATGTCCAAAGTAGAATCAATCATCTTCCCACAAAACTGTAATTTATCCAGATCTCTTCTTTTCTCCTCTAGCTGTGCAAATGCCACTCTTTTAGTCACTCTGGCTCGAAAGCTCAGTCATCTATGTCTCCTCTCTTAATTCTTTTCATAATAAATTTACCCTATAAACAATTCTGAACATCCATACAAACAACAGGTCATAAATGTAGTCATTTATAATGGAACTCTTTTGGATGGTTTGTAGTGTATCATTCTGGTCACATTCCTAAGCAAATACAGATTTAATTTACTTTATACATGATTAGAGTCATACTTCACATTTCTAGAGGAACTGTTTTATTAAAGTATAACATCCATATAGAAATGTACACAATAAAAAAGAGATGTACACAATCATAATTTGACAACTTTTCATGTAATTAAAATATTTTCCCACTACAATTTTCCAAAGCTCAAAGGTATTCCATCCCATAGATGTACCATAGTTTAGATAACTAACCACTGTTCTAGGGTTTCTGGCTTTTTTCCCTAATCTTCTCACCTCTCCTTCCACAATGCTGCAAAGATGAATTTACCTCTACTTAATCTGTATTTTGTGCTCATTTCCAATTTTTCCTTAGAATAAAATTCCTAGAGCCTGAATTTCTGGGCCAACAGGCATGTGCATTTTAAAAAATAAACTTTAATTTTAGAATTGTTCTAGATTTATAGAAAATTACGAAGGAACTGCACATGGTTCCTGTATACCTCCTACCCAGTTTCCACTGTTAATATCTCTACCTGTGCAAATTAGTATAGCACATTTGTCACAATTAGTGAACAATATTGAGATATTATTAACTAAAGCCCGTACTTTATCCAGATTTCTTTACTTTTTACCTAATGTCCTTTTTGCTGTTCTACTATCCCACTGAGGATACCACATTACGTTAAGTTGTCACGTTGCCCTAGGCTCCTCTTGGCTGTGACAGTTTCTCAAGACTGTCCTTGTCCTCGATGACCTTGGCAATTTTGAGGAATACCGGTCAGGCATTCTGTAGCACGTTCCTCAATTGGGGTTTGTCTGATTTCCTTTGATCAGACTGGGGTTGTGGGTTTGGAAGGAGATAAAATACCGCTCTCATCATATCTAGTCCACAGACTGTCAACATGATTTATCACTGCTGATGTGAACCTTGATCACCTGGCTGAGGAAGTGTTTTCTCTACCACAAAGTTACTCATTTCCCTCCTGACTGTACTTCTTTGGAAGTCACTAGGCACAGCCCACATTTAAGGAGTTGAGAGTGACGCTTTAGGGTGGAGTCTCTATATGAATTATTTGGAATTCTTCTGCACTAGTGTTAACTGTTCTTTCCATTCGTTAACTTATTCTTATCAGTATTCATATAATTACCTTCTATGGGTATGAACTCATAGATATTTATTTTTGAGTTTTAATCCAGTAGTACTTTACTGGTTTTGCTGCTCAAAGCATGTATATTTTTTAACACCCCGAGTAACTCACTGCTAAGCTGCCCTGCCAAAGGTTGTACCAACTCAAATGGTTAAAAGGAGGATCCATTGCCCTTCAACTTCACACACCCTTTATAAAAGCAGGTCAGCAAGCAGGGATGAGGCCTAGGCTCTCTCTGGCACCCAGTTTCCTGACGAAGATGAGGCCAGCGCGGAGACGTCCTGCCCCAGACGGGCACCTCACCCCTAGCCTGGCCCCCGCCCTAACCGCGCCTCTCCTCGCCCCCAGTAGGGTCTCCAGGCTTCCCCTCTCCCCCCACGGCCCCGCCCTACTTGGGGCGGAAGTGGGGGAGGCCGAGGGCCGGAAGTGCTGGGCGGGGAGGGGGGGGGCGAGCCCTTCCGCACAGATAGCTCCTCCCACTCTGCCGTCGCCCCACCCCCTCCGGCCCATACCGGAAATGAGGTCAGAGAGGGAAACCCTAGCGGAGAGACTCGGCCCCCATAGAGGCGGCCGCTGGACGTGCCTGCGGCAGCTGGTGAGGGGCCGAAGCGGGTCGAGAGGGTCGGGGTCCGGGGGGTGGCGCCGGCGGGGCTCCGGGGCTCTGCGCCGTGGCTGAGCGGCCGGAGGCTTGGAGGGGCCGCGGCGGCCGGCGGGAGGAGCGGGGGTGACGGGGCCTTGCTTTTCAGGGCCCATCGCCTCCGTCCGGGGGCGGAGGGGAGGGGGAGCTGAGGGACGGGCCGTCTCCCGGGCGACGGCCCTCACCTCTTCATTCTGGCTCTTTCGGGCCGGCGATTGCGTGAGGGCTTAGTGTGTCCACGGCCGTGGTCGCCCTAGTCCTCGGGGGTGGGCCAGGGCTGAGAGCCCTTTGAAACACTCGTTCCCCCCCCACCCCCCTCACATATGTGGCCATGTTGTGACCCCTGATCACGGAGAGAGCCTAGTGACCGGGATTTGCTTTTTCGCACTTTCTCTCCCGGAGGAGACTTATCCCTGGCCCCTGGTGAGCAAACCTGAGAGGTTGCCTCTTGCCTTTCCCGCCTCCTCCGCCCCCAACCTCCGACTCTGCCTCTACCCCTGCCCCGCTTCTGACTCCTACCAGTTTCCCCTTATTCCATCACGTAAATCAGACAGCCTTTCCTCTTCCCGAGGGCCGGCCTGGACCCCAGGGTCCTCTTGGACCGGAGGTGTGGGAGTCCCAGGCTGCTTCTGTCACCTGCTTTTCGAATTGCAGTTTTGGAAGCAGGAAAGGATTCTTCTGCACAGGCATTCGACTCGTAGTTGTTTAGTAACTTATTTCCACGTTAAAGTTTGTCCACTGCTGCCCGAGTGGTTTTTTTTGTTGTTTTTTTTTAAGCGGTAGTTCTTTATTTGGGAAGTAGACTTAGGCATGCTGTTCCCACTTGTTTACCTATTTTGGTCCTAGGGGCAGTTGTTTCCCAAACCCCAGTCAGGGTGTTTTAAACTATTTATTTTCTAAAGGGAAGTGGTCATCTGTGTATGTGTGTGTGGCTTTTGACACTTTGAGAAGTTTTGTTTGGTTGGTAGTTTTGGAACTAGATGTTTCCATTTCCCCCACCAAGGTGGCAGATAAGCCAGCCGACTGTTTTCCTGCGTTGGCATTGGGGCCACATGAAAATAGGTTTTAGAAAAATCCCTTGGAGAATGTAAACTGCATGAACGGAAATATGGCCTGAGAGTGGCGTCACACAGAGGTTTAAGCTCTAATTATGGTCTTGAAATACTTTGGTCTTAACAAGGGGTGGAGAAAAGTGCCAATTTAATATGTATTTAATAGGTGTTATACAAATTATATTAGATATTTCCATTTAAAAGGGCATTTTGAAGATTGGTCTTACTACTTTCATCCCTTGACAGGTTTGCCTTTGAAGTGACCCCTGAAATGTGATGTATGATGGTTTGATATGAATGAGTGGAAAAGTAGGAAATTTTGGAAAGCAGTCAGCTTCAAATCTCAGAGACTCCATGTGGACCATCCCTGCCATTTCAGCCTCAGTTATGTCCTGTTTTTGTGTGATGATCTAGCATGAAAGCACATAATTAAGATGATCACTTATTTTCTGAAGGATGTGGGAAGAGTTTAAAAGTTGCTAATAATTAAAAATTATATGATATACTCTTATAAGGTTTTTTACCTGGTAGCTTCCAGGTGGTAGTTGGTATAAACCAGAATGGGTATAAACTTAGTCTCTTTTTTCCATTTAGAGAACAAACCTGGTCCACTACAGATTCTTGGATCTATAAAACGGCAAGCAGTTTTCCTTGAAGTGTGTCACTAAGGTTGTCTTTCTATTCTCTTCTGCAAGCATTCTTATCAGTGACCTCATACTACACAATAGTCCTTCATCTATGCTTTTAAAGTTGAGTGTTTTTCTGCTTTTGTCTGATGAGACATTCTTTTATCTTTTTGGATCTTATCATTAGATAATTTAGTGACATGTTTAATTGGGGAAAAGGGGGAAAGATTTATTCCTCTGAGTTTGCTAATATTCCCCTTGTCACTTGGTAAAAGAGATTTTTTGCTTAAAAACATGTTGTCTTAAGACATTTAACAGGGGCCAAACACCTATTCTCAGTGGCCAAAGGGGGCATGGATGGTAGGATTCTAAGAGTAGCCAGATGAAAGGTGACTATTTTCTATGGAAAGGGTGAACTCTGCAGTGACATGATTTGTTTTGTAAAAATTTTCTAAAATAACAGCTCCTATTCAGGCTCTCTTTTTCTTTTTTCTTTTTTAAAATTTCTTTTGGCAGATGTGGCCTCATGGATGAGCTGGTACATGACTTAGCCTCAGCCTTGGAGCAGACATCTGAACAGAATAAGCTTGGTGAGCTGTGGGAAGAGATGGCCTTGAGCCCTCGGCAGCAGAGGCGGCAGCTTCGCAAACGGAGAGGCAGGAAGCGCCGCTCAGACTTCACCCACCTGGCAGAGCACACCTGCTGCTACAGTGAGGCCTCTGAGTCCAGTCTGGATGAGGCCGTTAAGGACTGTCGAGAAATGGCCCCGGTCACCAATTTTAGTGACTCTGATGACACCATGGTAGCCAAACGGCATCCAGCTCTCAACACCATTGTTAAAAGTAAGCAACACTCTTGGCATGAATCTGACTCCTTTACTGAAAATGCACCTTGTCGGCCACTCAGGCGCAGGCGGAAGGTGAAGCGAGTGACTTCAGAGGTGGCTGCCAGCCTTCAGCAGAAGCTCAAGGTGTCAGATTGGAGCTATGAGAGAGGGTGTAGGTTCAAGTCTGCGAAGAAGCAGCGTCTGTCACGCTGGAAGGAGAATACTCCCTGGACTTCATCAGGCCACGGATTGTGTGAATCAGCAGAAACTAGGACTTTTCTCAACAAAACAGGAAGGAAAGAAAGGATGGAGTGTGAAGCAGATGAACAAAAACAGGGCTCTGATGAGAACATGTCAGAATGGTGAGATCTCTTACTTAGTGAAAGATTTTTCTTGATTAATTTGACCCAAAGTACAGATGCACAGTCTTGATGAATTTCACTTTCTTTCCAACCACCTTCTATAATACTGACTTTGTAGCTCTCCTTTAACCAATTAGTGTTTATCTTTAATTTTTATTTATTTTTATTGATCTTAGAGGGACTAAACAAGAGAGAGAGAGAAACGATAATGTGAGAGAGAAACAATAATGTGAGAGAGAAACTTTGATTGGTTGTCTCTTGCACATACCCCGACCAGGGATTGAACCTGCAGCCTGGTATGTGCCCTGACTGGGAGTTGAACCCATCACCTTCTGATGTACAGGACTATATTCCAGCCAACTGAACCACACTGGCCAGGGCTGTCTCTAGTTTTGCTTTGTTTTTAATCCTCACTGTAGGATTTTTCCCCCCTTTTATCGCTAGAGAGAGAGTGGAAGGGAGGGAGAAGGATAGAAAGAGAGGGAGACAGAGATAGAGGACAGAGAGAGAGAGAGGGGGGGGGAGGCAACTGTGTAAGAGACACACATTGATTGGCTGCCTCCGACCCTGGTCGGGTATTGAACCGCAATCAACAGAAGCATGTGACCTTGACTGGTAATCCAACTGGCAACTCTTCAGTCTGCAGGGCAACACTGTACTACTGAGCAAAATCAGCCAGTTAAAGAACATTCATGATTCTATTTCCCTCTGTCAAGGAGGCTATACTGTAATGGAAGCACATTTTTTCCTTAAAATGTGTGCCTCAAATGCATAACCAGAATTTTATTTTAAAGGCAGTTTGCTGCTGTTAATGCCATGTAGTTCATACATCAGTATTGTTCTTTAGAATCAGGATCTCAGCAGAGGCTGGTGTGTGTGTGTGTGTGTGTGTGTATTATAAATGCTGGTGCCATGCACATGGAGTTTGTAAATGTTCCTGGTACTGCCTTTACCCATTAAGAATCATGGCTTTAGATATGTCTGGGCTATAATTCTGTTCTCTGCTGCTTACAGTTTGACTATATTGAGTTTATTTTTTATGGCTCATATTCAAGTTGTCCGAACACATCGTAGGCTTTGAAAATAACAGTACTTAGTCCCATTAGTCTTATGTCAGATGTCATTGAGCCAGAAAAATTTGTATGTATTGGGTGCATATTTATAATGTCAGTATAGTTTTTATTTTTTACCTCTCAGATAGTCCTAGGGACAATGAAACTACCCAGCTTGATACTTTAATATTGTCATTATTAATAATAATGTGAGATATCTGTTTCTCACTGGGGGAGATGCTGTTGGTGTTTTGGATGGGGCAGTTCTTCGTGGTGAGGGATTGTCCCATGCCTTGCAGGATATTTGGCATTTTTGCTTTGTTTCCATCTACCTGCCCAGTTCATATTATCAAACCAAATGCTTCTATGGGTGTTCCCTAGATGGGTTGAATAGTCTCAAATGAGAACCATTATATTCTGTTTTGATATTAGCAATTCTGAAGCACTAACTGTGTGCCAGGTATTGTACTGTTGTGCATAGCATATTCTTCCTTTTAAAAAAAATATATTTTATTGATTTTTTATAGAGAGGAAGAGAGAGGGATAGAGAGTTAGAAACATTGATCAGCTGCCTCCTGCACACCCCCCACCGGGGATGTGCCCGCAACCAAGGTACATGCCCTTGACCGGAATTGAACCTGGGACCTTTCAGTCCGCAGGCTGACGCCACTGAGCAAAACCGTTTTTGGCTGCCTAACATATTAATGCTCACAACTCCACTATTTGTATTTTATAGAAGAGGAAATGGAGGTTAAGCATGGTTAGATAATTTGCCCAAAGGTGGCAAAACTGAAAGTCAAACGTGATCCCTGAGTTCATACTTAACCACCATGTTACCTACCTTTTGACTTTGCCTTTTCCATGGCTCTTTTTTCTCTCATCTTAACTTCTATAACCTAAAGATGTATGGCCTTTCTTTGCTTCTTTAGAAATTTGTCTGAAAAACAAAGACATAAATCTTGGTTCCTCTGAGGTGGGGCTGTGTGAGTAATAGGGAAAGCTTTGTAGGTCTGCATGCCTATACCTTTCCTGAGTGGTTTTCAATCCAGCTGCACAACTAGGTAGGCTTATGATTTGGCTTTTTAAATTTTCCTCTAATGTATATTCCAAGGTCTATTTACCCAGTTTATATATAAATTTTGGGTTATAAAATCAGCTATGATTTTATAACCCAAAATGCTATTTTTAATGAAACAAGAAATACTTAATCAGCTTGTAGCTTTTCACAGTGTTGAAAATCTCAATTGAGGTGGTCAAGTTGTTTCAATATTGAGCATACTTACCAAATAGTAATCTTACTGTTGAGAATGGTGATTTTATTTTATTTATTTATTTATTTATTTATTTATTTTAAATATATATATTTTATTGATTTTTTACAGAGAGGAAGAGATAGGGATAGAGAGTTAGAAACATCGATGAGAGAGAATCATCGATCAGCTGCCTCTTACACACCCCCTACTGGGGATGTGCCCGCAACCAAGGTACATGCCCTTGACCGGAATCGAACCCAGGACTCTTCTGTCCATAAGCCGACGCTCTATCCACTGAGCCAAACCGGTTTCGGCGAGAATGGTGATTTTAAAAATAGCCCTTTGGGATGATAGCTTTTCTTCCCCAGAATTTCTTATTAAACTATGACATAATTGTGTATATGAGGGAGACTGTTAACTTTGTCTACTCTAAGATAGCCCACATGTGATTCTAAATGTAGAGCCTATAATCTAGCAGTGAGGTACTTTGGTTTTTCTTGTTCCTTCTTACCCCATCTATTGCACGTACAGTCAGGTGGTGAGAATATACATTCTAGTTATTCGAGAGCCTGGATAAATTGAAATCGGCAACAAGTCTTTTTTACTCTTTTCAAATCGAGGACCTTGTTTCCCCCTTTGGTCTCTCTCCCTGGTTCATGACTTTAGAGTTTTTTTCAGTGATGTAGATGCCAAAGTCTTTGCAGCAAGCTAACTATGAGGGAGGAATAATGGGTGGAATAGTAGCAGAAATAGAAAAAAAATTATTTAGAATATGATTATTTAGAGCCCTAAATTTGCTTTGATTATGTTGATTCATCTATAGTTATAAACAGAAGTGTTTGTATTTATTCTCCCTAAATCTACTCTGTGGGGAAAGGGGAAATTTTTACTCTCACTGCATATTACTATGGTCAGCCTCTCAATAGTAAAGTGGAACTATAAATCTTCTGCCCTCAATTATTAAGTACACCTTATACACAAAAGTAGCATTCGAGTGTGTTTAAGTAGAAAATAGTGTATGATTTGGATATTGTACTGTCTTGTTGAGTTGATTCTGTCAAAATGTTCTTAGTTTTTCTGCATTAAAAGAGATACTTCCAAGAATCCTCTTGGTTACCCTTTTCATAAATTTATTTGGATGTGCTAATTTATTCACAGATCAAAGTGTAGAACTTTACTTTTTATTAGTTGTATTGAGGTTTGTCAGATTGTATAAGATCCAACTTGTAAAATTATTAGGATGAATTGATCATTTAGCTTAGCCTAGTCTCAGTGGATAGGAAGAGTTCTTATAAAAGTCATGCATTACGTGTTTTAGGATCAAAACCGTATGTCTCAATCAGAGAGCTTTATTTCTAATTTCCTTAAGCTCATGGGTAACTAAACTTGGAGTCTTTTTAAGTGTAATCAAGAATTCTTTTTGCTTTTTCTCTTTCCGTTCTTCAATTCTACACCAGCAGTCCCTTGAGTTCTGAAGAACTAAAAGTGGTTGCGATACAATAGCTTTCTTATGCCTACAAAAAGATCAGTTATTATTTTATTATTTTTCTGTGCATAGTGTGTTCCATCCTAAAATGGAACAACTCTTTTGTAAAGTTACTTTCTACTGATCTTTATTCAAATTGCCTATAAAGCAGTTATTAATTAGGTGATTTATAGTCTAATTTTGCTCTCTTCTCTCCTAACACATCATTCATCTGTTCTCTTTGAATATAGCTTAACTTCTTTTCTTTCATAAAAGAGTTGGTTTGGTGTTGGCCTGAGGTTGCAGTTATGAGCCTTCCTCTGATGATATATTAGAGGCTGATCTCACAGGAAAGAAAATATTCCTTTCTCTTGGAAGGCAAGTGACAGAGATAGAGTGCTAAACCTTCCCCCCCTTCTCCAGCCCGAGCTGACCTTCTGCGGCCCCTTGGTGCCTCTTGTTTTCTTATTTTTATAGAAAATCAATATCCCTTCTGACACAAACAATAGCTCAGAAGCAAGAATAAATGGCAGAAAGCTGAGATCTCTGTCTATCACCTCTCACTTTAACTCCCCCAAACTCTTTAATTATGAGCGAGCTTTGCTCCAGGTGTTTGCTACAGTGAAATTGCTAAATGAGGACCATTTTAACCAAAGATTGGGTGATCAATAACACTCTATAGCAGTAGCTTGTTGGATCAATAGCATTCATTATTTCATGGTTAAGGTAAGTAGCCTCCTTTGCGAGTGGAGGTCATTAATCAGGGGTTTGTGGAGCTGTAGAAAAGAATATAAGAGGTAGGTTGAGGATGTTCTGTTTTCTATTCTGTAAATAGGAATGCTGACCAACAGTATATTGTAAATTATATTTTTGCATTTGAGAGTATTGAATAGCTAGCATAGTGTTCTTATGTAGATTTAACCAAAGTTCTATTAGTAGTACATCCTTAAGAACAACTAAAAAAGACAACTTGGGAGGTGGGTCTGATACTATTGTATTTGAGGATCTGTCTCTTGAAAGAAATGTCTACCTCTTTAGAGAAATGCTAGAAGTTTTCTTTCTAGAATTTTTCTAGAGGAAAGAACTTGATTCATGGATAGAAAGTATAGAGAATTAAGTGTTGCCTCAGTATTGATATAACGTTCTGAAAATTAGAACTTTGTAAAAATGAAGTGAATTGTTTCACTAGGTAATGAGTTCTGGATCACGAGTGATTCAAGCCTGTGGTTGGTGACCAATTACTGTGTTATTGTGAAGTTGGAGAATTTGAACTGAATGATCTCTGAAGTCCCTGCAAAACTGAGAATATATAATTCTTTTCAGTCACTACCTCCTTCCCATCACTGTAGCTTCATTTTTAGATAAAGCACCTGATAAGCAGCCTCCACTGCCAACTACGATACTTACGAAGGCATAAAACATTGCACATACGTCATCAGAAACGAGGACTGACAGTTGGCCTTTTGCCAAGATTTCCCCAAACTACAAGGTTGATAGAGCTATACTGGAGAGGCAGGTGGAAGCCCTCAGCAGTGCTGAGCCTTCGCTGAAGGTGGGCAGCAAAGCCCTGCATCCTTTCTCTATAGTCAGCTCTTGGTTCAGAAAAGCAAGGCTTATTTTAATCAGAAAATCGAGCAGCTGCTGTTTGAGCCAGCATGCTGTTCCATCCTTTACTTTCTGATACCTATCTTTCAGTTTTCTATTTGGAGGCTGTAACTCCCAGAATATACTTGGATAAGGAATCTTTGTGTTTTCTGTGTCTATATCTGTGTTTGAGGGTAAGGAGGAAGTAGTCACAGCATGTTGAGTCCCAGGAAGTAGAGTTTCCAAAAATAAAGTTTACTGTTGGCATCGGCAGAGACTGAAAAAGCACTCATAATAGAGCATTCTGAGAATTGTAGTGTTTTCTATGCCTTCATTTATTGCTGACTCCTAAAATGGGGTCAGAATCAGGCAGGGAGTGTTAGAAGACCCTGTCTTAGTCCAACATTAGCCATCTGAGATAAAAGCCCACCAGTGACACTGGGAATTAGGCTAGGGGCTCTGCACATCGTCTTGGCCAATTGTAGAGGTGAGAAGAGCATGTTACTACCCATAACCAAAGGAGTACAGAATGGGAAGATAATTTACAGACCCTTTCTGTTGGCAACTACCAGAGTCTAGGTAAACCAGTCTGAACAAGAGGTCTTTGAACAAGTTCTGCAGAATAAAGAAAAGAGGTCATCCTTAAAGTTCAGAGGAAGAATACATCTTTAAAAATGAGTGCCAGTGGGAAGCAGGAGAGCATTTTTGAAAATCTTCATTAGGATGCAAAGAGGTATAATCACTTTGGAACAGGAATAGTAAGTCATAAGGACAGAAAAATGGCTGTTTGAAAACCAGTGTTATGGGAGGGAAAATTGTAGGGAAATTTGAAATGTTAAAATGGAAGATAGTTCATCTCGTTGAACACTGCATTGATGATGTGGAAAACTTCAGAAGCCCTCCCAAAATGCAGAGAGGAGCTGAAAATGAGAGCGAAGATGATAGATCTAGAGGACAGAGAATTGAAGCCCAGTCTGTGAATATGTAAATATTCCCAAGGAACAATCCAATGCATTGGAATAGAAGAATGATTTAAAAATTAGATTTGAAGAGAAAAATAATTACTAATTATAATTAAATTAAATAATTAAGTATAATAATCAAAAGGGGAAACTAATGAAAAGAGATTTATACTTAGATATATGCTGACATATTTTTGCATTCTACATTGGTAGTAGGGATAGAGCAAATACTGTATAAAGAAAAATCTTAAAAGGCATGAGAAAAATAAGGTTGGCATTCATACCTATAGTACTAACTGTAAGGGGCTAAGGAAAAGATGATTTTCCTATCCCTTGTCCCTGAATTTTATATATAGCTAAGATAGATTTCACATAGAAAGGAGCACAAAGACCTTCTTAGATATGCATGTTTCAGAATGTATGCCCTTTAAAAATTTACTCTCAAAAGACATTTTATCTAACCAAAGATGAATCACTATAAGCTCTGAGAAAAGGTAAGTCTTAAGAGGATGGGTGGACTTCTCTAAGGCACAGCCCCCAGCTCAGTAGCAGAGTCCTGAGCAAAATCATGATCGCTGCAAAGTTTGTCTCACTGCAGTGGCTTTGGTAATGAACCTGTGAAACTGGAGATGTTGCTGCTTACGTGGTGCCAACTGAATGAAACTGAAACACTCCATTATACAATCTCATGATTTATTATGGGAATAATTTTATAGTTGATGTGAAATATTTCTCTGAAAAACCTAAGTCATGTTTGCTTTCATTCTTAGAAGTCTGATTATGTATTGTTACAAATGTACCACCTCGACTCAGAAAAAAGATGGGGAAAAATTGAGCAAAGATATCTTTGGGCAGTGGATCTAGGAGTGACATTTTTTTCCTTCCTGTTTTTCTGAATTCTAAGACAATTTAAAATTATTATTAAGTATACCATTATGTATTTAATTAAAATGAAAACTAATCTTTTAGCATGATGATATAAGCCATAACTCTATCTTGCTAATTTCTTTTAAAAGTAGATAAATGAGGCACCACCTATTGAGCTAATCCTATATAATAAAAGGCTAATATGCAAATTGACCAAATGGAGGAACAGCTGGTCACTATGACGTGCACTGACCACCAGGAGGCAGACACTTAACGCAGGAGCTTCCCCCTGGTGGTCAGTGCACTCCCACGGGGGAGTGCTGGCAGGTGCCTCTTCCGCTTCTGCCGCAATTGGACATCCCCTGAGGGCTTCTGGACTACGAGAGGGCACAGGCCGGGCTGAGAGATCCCCCACCCCCGAGTGCATGAATTTTGTGGACCAGGTTAATAATCTAGTTGGTTAATAATCTAGTTGGTTAATAATCTTAAATGAGTAAAAAATGAGTGGTAACTTATTGATACTGAATTTTGATTATAGATGATAAACTTGTTCTGTAATCCTTATTGTAACCGAGACAGGTATAAACTATTCTCATTCAGTTTTAACTTACAGTCCTTGTAGTTAGAAATATGAAAGAACTAGCAAGCTCTCAGGTCTGAGGACAAGCTGTGTTTTTTTCCTCCCAGTTGTGAGAATTTAGAGAGATTTGTCTTATTGAAAATAGAAGCTGCTCATGAGGGCCAGAAGGTAGGGAGTTATTTTCAAAAAAGAGTTCATAAAGATGCTGTATTATTTATTGCTGCAGAAAAATTGCCCTAAAGCATAGCAGCTTTAAATCACAAACATGTAAGTCTTATAGTTCCTGAAGTCAGGTATTGGGAAGCAGCTTAGCTGGGTGGTTCTGGTTCAGAATCTAATACTGTTACATTAAAATTTAGCTCTCATCGAAACCGGTTTGGCTCAGTGGATAGAACATCGGTCTGTGGACTGAAAGGTCCCAGGTTCGATTCTGGTCAAGGGCATGTACATTGGTTGTGGGCACATCCCCAGTAGGGGGTGTGCAGGAGGCAGCTGGTCGATGTTTCTCTCATTGATGTTTCTAGCTCTCGATCCCTCTCCCTTCCTCTCTGTAAAAAATCAATAAAATATATTTTAAAAATAAATAAAATTTAGCTCTCAAATGCTGAGGCTGCAGTTGTCTCAAGCCTTGTCTTGGGCTGAAGGCTCTACTTTCCAACTTAGTCATAGGGCTGTTGGCAGATCTCATTTCTTTATGGGCTATTGGACCAAGAGTCTTGGTGTCTTTTTCACTTCTAAGCTCACTCATGGGGAGAAGGGAAGGGAGGAATCTCCAGAATGCCCAAGATGGGAGCCACAGTCTTATTAAAAATCTATTATCAGAAATGACATACCATTACTTCTGCCGGTGCTATTGGTTACACAGACCAACTAGGGTGTGAAAATACCAGGAAGTGAGTCATCTGTGAGTTTGGTTACTACAGATGGCTACTGGTCTTTTGAATTTCTTTCCTAACTTAGTAAGAAGATAAATTCAGTAAGTTCAGACTACTATTTCCCCAGAACTTATTAGGAGAAGGTTTTTTTCTTTGATTGCAATGGAAGGATCATTCAGCAAGCACCTGGGGCTTAGGAGATACACCTCCCTGGCTCTGATGTTATTCACTGTGTAATGTTGGGCAAGTGCTTACCCACTCTGAGCCATTCCTTTATCTGTAGTATGAGGTTGACAAAGTTACCTCATAGAGTTTTGGGATAGAAGAAATATAATAATGAATATATGGCACTTAATACTTTGCCTGGCCTGCAGTAGAACTCCGGACATGATATTACTTGTATCAGTAATAAATCATTGCCTTCTCTGTGAATAATTTCCTTAATAAACTCAATTCAATACCAAACCATTTTTTTGAGATATTTGAAGTTTAGAGAATCTGTTGAGAGCAGTCACACCCTCTCCCATGGGAAAAATACTAAATTTCATAGACTACATTTTATTTTTCCATTTAAAATGAAAATAGATTCAAGACCCATAGAATTTTTTAAATTGAAATGTAATTGAGAGCACCATAGATTTTAGATGACTATTTTAATAAGAATTTCAGTGAGGGAATTACTACTATTAGCTTCTAAAATAATATTTGGGCACATACAAGAATTAGCACCCTAAAAGTAGCTTTCTAATCTTTAATCCTTTGCAGTGTTCACAAAATGGGTTCATACTATCACATCCTCAGAACAACCCATCCACAGTTTATGTGCAGAGAAATAGGATTAGTGAGGTAAAGTGATACACCACAACGGCCATGCGAGGAGAAGCAGCAGAGCGGATTTGAAGGAGTTCATTTCATTTGCGTAACATTTACTGGATATCTGTCATGTGCCATGTGCTATGCTAGGCATTGGGCACATTGAGATGAGCAATCTATTTCCTTTCCAGCATGGATCCCTCTCTTCCGGGACTATAGGATCTCCTTTCTGCCTGGGCTAGGCAGAGGAGGATCTGTACAACGCTTGAGTAATTTCAGTTCTACCAGTTGGCCTGAAGATCTAGCTGCCTTCTCATGATTCCTGGGATCTGGAAGCCTGAGACTGAGATCTGGCCCACTCCTGACAAGAGAGTGACACCTTTGTCCCGAAGGCTGGCTCTACCCTGCAAAATACACAGGCTTCTCTCCTCTGAAGTAGTTTCTCTTAACATGGCACCACTCCATCTCTCTACTTTGTTCATCACTCTAGATGAAGATCCTTAACTTTGTCAGTACTAATGTTTTGGGCCAGATAATTCTCTGTTGTAAGGGCTGTCCCGTGCATTGTAGGGTGTTTAGCAGCATCCCTGGCCTCTACCCAGTAGATGCCAGAGGACATCAACTCCCCTTTCCTCCCTTTAAGTCCAAACAAACAAACAAACAAACAAACAAAATAATGGTTCCAGACATTTCCATAAGGCCTCCAGGGTCTGTGAGGGCCAAAATTGCCTCCAGTTGAGAACTATTGCTCTAGATGTTTCTGGTAATGAGATTGGCTTTTTACTTCAGTGACTCTGCTTTTTCCAACAAGCATGAGTCTCAAATTTAGAGAACTGTTTTGTTTAGTTTTTTAATTTATTGATTTGAGAGAGGGGGAAGGGAGAGAGACATCGATTTGTTGTTCCACTTATGTATTAACTTGTTGCTTGTTGTATATGCTCTAACTGGGGATTGAACCTATGTCATTGGCATATCCTAATGACACTCTAACCAACTGAACTACTCAGCCAGGGCAAATTTAGAGAACTTTGTAAGACCAAAACATTGATCTATTCTACAGAATAAAAATAATGTAGTTTAAAAATGAAGAGTTTCTGCCAATTTAAAAACAATACCTTCTAATTGCTCCTCAAAAGGGCAAATAGTTCATTTCACAGCTTGGAAATAGAAGCAGTTTAGATGAGAGTATTTAAAAATAGTGCCAAAGTTTACAATGTTTAGCTAACAGTGTTTGTCCTGGAATTAAGTGGACAAGAAGTATGAATAGTGTTTTATTAGGCTTGATTCCTATGATAATCTACTTATTTGAAAGTGGGTGCCATGCCCAGTCATCTGGTTATTTCACTTGGATGTGGTTCAGTTGCTTTGGTCCCATAGAAACCCACCCAGTAAGTTTCATTTTCTGGCACCATTCATAGTGATTACAATATTATTGACTTTATTTCCTATGCTGTACATTACATACCTATAACTACCAACCTGTACTTCTTAATCCCTTCACCTTTTCACCTATCCTCTTCTCTGGCAACCATCATTCTGTTCTTTGTATCTATGAATCTGTTTTTGTTTTGTTTGTTCATTTATATAGTTCTTCAGATTCCACATATTAAGAGAAATCATATGGTATTTGTTTTTCTCTCACTGGCTTATTTCACTGAGCATAATACCCTCTAGGTCATCCAGGCTGTCCCAAATGCTAAGATTTCATGCTTTTTTTATGTTCTAGTAATATTCCACTGTATATATGTACTTCAGCTTTTATATATCATATATATATATATATATATATATATATATATATATACATACATACATACATATATATATTGATTTTAGAGAGAAAGGAAAAGGGAGAGAGAGATAGAAATGTTAATGATGAGAGAGAACCACCGATGGGCTGCCTCCTGCACTGTCCCCACTGGGGATCGAGCCCGCAAACCTGGGCATACACCCCAACTGGAATCTAATCCGGGATCCTTCAGTCTGCAGGCCCAACGCTCTATCCATTGAGCAAAACTGGCCGGAGCTGTATTACTGCTTTTTTATCTACTAATCTATTAATGGATAGCTTGGCTGTTGTAAGAATACTGCAATGAGCAAAGGGATGCATATATTTTTCGAATTTGAGTTTCTTCAGATATATACCCAGAAGTAGAATTGCTGAGTCATAAAGCACTTCCATTTTTAATTTTTTGAGGAACCTCTCTATTGTTTTCCACAGGGGCTGTACCAGTGTGTTAGGGTTCCCTTTTCTTCATATCCTTTCCAACACTTCTTTGTTGATTTATTGATGATAGTCATTCTGATAGTCTATTGGCTATCTGTATGTACTCTTTGGAGATGATTTTATTTTAAAATCATAATCTCTGAGCCATAAATGAAGGAAGGCTGCAGGACTGGACAACTGTGGCCTATGACTTGGAAATATTTGGTTCTACTTCATAGCTAGCACTACATTTTGCTTACTGTATTCTAGTGTTTATATACAAATATGCCGTGAACTTCCTGGTATTTTTCTTTTTAATAAATTATCCTACCAATTTCTTACATATCATTAGATTTCTTCAATACAAGTTCTTCTGAAGGGGATAGATTTAGCAGATGCTATCAAATGAAATAGTCCTTTCCAGATACTGGTGGAATGAAGATACTTCTATGTAATAAATGTTCTGTAAGACATAAGTCATTTTCTTGGTGAAGAAAATATCTCCTTTGATCATAATCTTAAAATCCTGGTGATAGTCCTATATGACATCATTACCATTACTCTAATTAACTGCATAGAGGAAATTAGTGCAAGCTAATCTTTCAAGAAGAGTCTCCTTAAGTGCTGTTCACAAAAGTAGAAAATATACAGAGACAGGAAGGTTTTAGGTTACCAACACCTTTCTTGACCCAACGTCTTTCTTTGAGCTTGTCTCCTATATTTAGAATATGAGGAGAGAATGAAATCCATGGAAAAAAAGGCCTAAGGAGGCACTGGATCTTGTACTTACCAGTGGTTGGACATGAATAGAGAAAAGAATTGATAGATTTTGTAATAAAACAACAGTTTTATTTTTTTAATTGGAAATATTTAAGCAGAGGGGACCATAGACATTGCAGAGTTGAACTTGCAATACATGTACAGCAGGGATCAGCTGTACATGTATTACAAGTTTATCTTTCCTCTGTAAAGAGCCAGATAGTAAATAGTTTAGGACTTTGTGGGCAGTATGTTCTCTGATGCAACTACTCAACTTTTTATTTGTGGTGTGAAAGAAGACATAGACCATATATAAATGAGTGAGTGTGGCTGTATTCCAATAAAATTGTATTTATGAACACTGACATTTGGATTTCATACCATTTCCACACCTCACAAAATGTTCTTTTGACACCATCCATCCACCCGCTGCAGGTATATAAAACTAAAAATCAAAGCAAAGTAAGTAACTGGCTGTTGTTTGCTAACCCCTAAGACTCAGTTGGTGCTATTGCTAGCCAATAAAGAATATAACACGATGGTAGAACAGAATATCTGTCCCATGGCCCACCATTCCTTCATATCAAGAGGAGTTAAAAATATGAAATTTGCTTTATTTTTGAGGTAAAATAAGAGCAATAAAGTAGTAATATGAGAGGATGTGTATATAGTTAAGACTCAGTGGAGTTAGGCTAGTAATATTTTTAGGAATTTGCTAAAAATACAAAAACAAAACACATTAAGTTCAGCAAGGCACAGTTCTTTGAACTGAGAAGTAGGAAGAATGCAGTAGTCTATGAGGATGTCTTCTGGATTTAATGGCAGAGCTCTTTGAAGATTCTAAATCCGTCAGAATCCAGTGGTAGAGTTTTATAAGACATTTCTTACAATGACACCTGAGAATGTTCCCACTGTTCCCACAATAAAATAAAATGAAAGGACCTTTAAAGAAACTGGATATGTTTTATTGGCTCTTACTGCAACACATCTCTTAGGTCTATTATTCAGAGACAAGCTTAAGTGAGGAGAGCATTGCTCTTTAATTTACTCAACGTTCTTAGGATTTAGTATTGCCAAAATATTTAGAAGTATTGCAAAATACAAAATATTTCCAGATTTTTGGTCCAGAAATATTGGTTGGGATTTTCCCAAGCCTTACGCAGGCAGCATGGTGAAAACGTTTCTTCTTGCTTTGGTTTCTTCCATCTTCTAGAGCAGGCGAAAAAAATTAACTGCCTTGGAAGGAAATACTCCCAGTCAAGAAAACAGCTAATATAAAGAATAGAGAAATTTTTCTTGAACCAGATAAATCAATTTAATGACTAGATGAAAGAAATACAGCTTCAAAGAGGCAGAATTAATTATTAGCAATAGCTCAGAAAAAGAAACTTATTGGATGGTATTCTGTGCAGCAAAAGTTTTATTTCAATGAGTTCAAATGTAGTTTGTTTTTATATTTTTATATCTTCCTTTTTGAAAATGAATTTTATTGTATATGCTTGATATGAAGGAAGACATTAAATTTAGAAAATAATAACTTTTGTCATACTGATTTCCTCACTCCTCACCCTTGTTTAGGGATTTTTGTTTGCTGCTTTGTAAATGGGAGAAAAAACTTGAGAGATGCTAGATGTCTTAAAGTTAGATAGCTTTATTTAAAACTGATAGTTGGTAATACTGAAAAAATAAAATTAATTTATAAATTTATAAATTTATGTTGTCTAATATACCAAAACAGATTGAGGTCATTTCTATAAGCCTTAATAAATAGCTTTCTAATGCTAAACTAACAAAGTGGCTTTAGATATTTTTTTAAATACTTTGAGATATAAAAGTTTTAGAATTTTTTAAAATAAACTTTTCCCAATGAATTAACTATGAAATTTACATTTCTGAATGGCTAATGAAATTAGGGAGACTTTTGATTTGAAAACCAGAAGAACAATTAATGCTTTGTATTTGCCTGGATCTGATGTCTTCTTTTTGTTTTACTCTTTTTTTTTTTTTTTTTCAGTGAAACCAGCAGTGTATGTAGCAGCAGTGACACAGGGCTCTTTACCAACGATGAAGGACGGCAAGGTAATCTTGATCCCAGCTTTAGGAAGATTCTGATGATTATAGAAGTGAGTCACTGAGAATATGGCATAGCTCTTTGAAGATTCTAAATCCATCTATAGCCGTGGTTCTCAAACTTTAAGGCATATAAGAGCCACCTGGGGAACTGTTAAAACTGCAAATTTTCAAACTCCTAGAAATCACATAGTTCTAGAGTTGTCCCTTGGAATTTGCATTTTCCATAAGCAACTGGGGTGATTTTTATACAGGTAGTTCAGACTTTGAGAATCATTGGTCCAGGGGGATTATAGTGTCAATGATGGGACTTTGGGAAGTTGCATTTTATTAGATATATAATTATTCTTATTTTCATATAGGAATAATTTATTTTGAAAACCTTATTTATAAACTAGAGGCCCGATGCACGAAATTAGTGCAAGAAGCTCAGCCCTCGCAGCTCCAGCTTCCGGACGATCAGCTGTCTGGTTTAATTAACATATTATACTTTTATTACTATAAATCTAATTAGCATATTATGCTTTTATTATTATAGATGTCCACAGTGTTCTGAATGAATATATTATAGAAAATATCTTCTTTCTAAAGTTTAGCATAGAACACTGAATAAGGCTAATATATGTTAATTCTTTATTTTTACTACCTAAGCAGTCATTTGAAACTTTGTTCTTATCCTGTACACTTCCTTAAGGCCATTCAAATTGTGTGCCAATTAGAATTTCATATAGCTCCCTTGGACTGATTTTCTTACTCTAAATCAGGAATTTGTAGATCTTTAAAGTCCCTTCTAGATCTGAAATCCAATGATTTTTCTCCAAGGGTTAAGTGATTGAAGGACAGAAATACAGTGGCTACATGTCTTGGTTGATACAGATGAGCTCTCTAGTAATTGAAGGAATCCTGTGACTGTGAGACTCGGAATCCTGATTTGGAGAGAGAGACCATGGAGGAGGTGGCTTCTCAGAGTAGTTATGGGCATGGATGGATTTGTTAAGCTTCCTACTATATGGAAGTTCTGAGTACATTTCTGTTCCATTCTAATGCTGAAGGAACTAGGTGTCATTTGAGATTGTGTGTGTGTATATTCCCTGGTAGGTTTTGCCAGGGCCTTTATTTTTTTTATCTCATACCAGGAAAGTGTGGTTGTCTGTCCATGAGTGACCTGGTGCATATTATTCAGAATTACTAATATTTTCTCTTTTTCTTTGCTTTTACTGCAATGCTATGAAGTATCATAATGCTTCTCTTAAAGGCTATGTTGTGTAATTATACAGAGGTGGAAGAGGGGTTGACCTATTGCAATAGATTAGGTTTTGGGCCTTCGGAAAACCTTTCCACTGATAAGAAGTCCTTGGTTTATCATGGAAGATTGTGGCCCCAGCTTTCTTCTTTGTCTTTCCCTCAACTTCACATATTCTGGTGATGTTTTAGATGCTTAAGAGTTCTCAGCACATAGTTATGTTATTTCCTGCTTCCATGTCTGTTTATGTTGGTCTCTGCCTGAAATCTCATCCTTACTTTTTCTTGAATGGCTGCTCATCCACCAAGACACAGTTCTCCTTTTGTCTTTCTGGGACATATTTGTGGACTACATCAATGGGTTTTCCCGCCTTCATGGGTTTGGCCAAGCTGTGGCATCAGCAGAAGAATGGAGGGAGAGAGAGAGGTGAATGAGATTGGGTGTAATAGTCAAGTTTTTATTATGATAATACTAACAACCCCAGAATTTCAGTGTTTTTTCACATTTATTTTTTACATTGGGACTGGGGTTTAGCTGAGGTTCAATTGATCTGGCTCAGTTGGTCTCCAGGCTTCACATTAGGTTTGTATCTATTCAGTGTATCTTTTTCTGGGTACTAAGCTAAAGAAGCAATGGCTCTATAACTTGTGGACTTCTCATGGCAGAGAACATGAATGCCAAATGACCAAGCTAGGCCATGCATGAATATTTAAAGCTTTTGCTTGAATACATTTGTTAATATTCTACCTAAAGCAAGTCTTATGACCAAGCCCAGTGCCTGTGGGTGGAGGAAGTGTGCTCTGCCTTAAGGGGAAGGCTCTGTAGAATCCCATGGCAAAAGGCATGGGTGTATTATTTATTCTATTAAAGGGAGGTGGAAGCAATAATGCTGTCTGCTACATTGGAGTATAGCTCTTCCTGGCTCCCTTTCTGTTGCATTGCTGGTTGGCCATGGTTATTTTCCTTTGCAGAAAGCCACCGCTCCTGTTGGGCAGCCTTTTCCTATAACCACAGTTTTCTCTGGGCTCTGATAGCCGTTCTTTCCCCTTGCTCCTTTTGGTCTAGTAATGTAAAGACTTCTCACTGTGCTGGCTCCAGAGTGCTTCACCATCCCTTACTGGTTTTTATTTTTTATTTTATTTATTTATTTTTAATACTGACTACACCTTTGTAAGTAGGCGCTTTATTAAAGTCTCAGTTACTCCATTTAAATGTACATGTGTTTCCTGAAGGGATTATGATGATACTCTCAGTGTAGGCACCATCTCTTAGAACCCTTCCTCTTTTCTTTTCTGGTACTTGTTGCTTTCTCACCACTTACCAAATCACATTTTTGTTTATAGATAGATACTTGTCTTTTTCCATTGAAGTTTTTCAAAGACAGGATTAAACAAAAATTTTTTGCAACTACAATAGGTAATACGTGGCCTGACATTTAGTGAGCTCTTAATAAATAATTATTGGGAAGCCCATTTGACAGGGAATATTCTCCTTTTCCTCCCTCAAACAGAACCCTATATAATAAAAACCTAATATCCAAATTGACCAAAACGGCTAAACCACTGGCGGAACGACCAGTTGCTATGCCATGCACTGACCACCAGAGGGCAGACACTCAATGCAGGAGCTTCTCCCTGGTGGTCAGTGCTCTCCCACAAGGGGATTGCCGCTCAGCCAGAAGCTGGGCTCACAGTAGGCAAGCGCAGTGGTGGTGGCAGAGCCTCTCCTGCTTCTGCTGCAGGTGGTGGTCAGGAGCGAGGGGTCCCAGACTGCAAGAGCCACGGACTGCTAGAGGGATGTCTGACTGCCGGAGATCAGGCCTAAGCATGCAGGCGGACATCCTCCGAGGGGTCCTGTATTGCAAGAGAATGCAGGCCGGGGTGAGGGGTAACCCTCCTCCCAGTGCATGAATTTCATGCACCGGGCCTCTAGTTGTACATAGAACCTCAAATTGTAAAACAGCTAAACTTATTTTGGTTAAAGCAGGGTCCTAAAGGATCTGATCCACTCAGCCTCTACCTTATTCTCGGGCAGCACTCTTGAGGAACTACTGCATCAGGCATCCTAGTGATCGCAGATTGAAGACTATGGATCTAGATGATCTCACAAGGTTGCTTCCAGTTCAGTGAGTCTCTTTTTTTTTTTTTTTTTAAGTATATTTTATTGATTTTTTTACAGAGAGGAAGGGAGAAGGATAGAGAGCTAGAAACATTGATGAGAGAATCATTAACCTGCTGCCTCCTGCACAACCCCTACCAGGGATGTGCCTGCAACCAATGTACATGCCCTTGATTGGGATCGAACCTGGGACCTTTCAGTCCACAGACTGATGCTCTATCCACTGAGCCAAACCGGTTTTGGCAAGTCTCTTTTCATGTTATCAAAAATCTTGAGTGAATGCTTGAGAACCAAAAACATGCCATGATAGTTTGCCATTTGTTATCAGCTGAGTACACTGTTTTACTAAATGGCCTAAGAAATGCTTATGAATAAGAAAGGAATTAATACGATGAAATGCAAATAAACTATTATTAACTAGAGGCCTCGTGCATGAAAAATTGTGCACTCAGGGCGGGAAGGGTTCCTCAGCCCTGCCTGCACCCTCTCGCAGTCCAGGAGCCCTCAGGGGATGTAAGACTAATGGCTTAGGCCCATTCTCCACAGGGAGTGAGCCTAAGCCAGTCTGGCCTCCCTCTGTGGGAGGCAACCAGTGGGCCGATCAGGGGACTGGGCTGGTGAATGGCCAGCCCTGCCCCCTTTGCCCTGCCATTGCTGCCACCCGTGGCCTTCCTCTGCAGGAGGCGACTGGGTGGATTGATCAGGGGACTGCGCTGGTCAGTTAATGATCATCCCCATGCCCCCCTATCCTACCCCGATCACATCTCCACCACTGCTGATTGCTGCCGCCCCCTCCCTCCTATTGCTGTCCCCACCCTTTGCCTGCTGGCACACGCCTTGGCTGGCCTGGCGCTGCTGCGCACCAGCCCCGACCCCCCTGACCAGTCGTTCCACTGTTTGGTCAATTTGCATATTATGCTTTTATTACATAGGATTTCTAATGTCTGTCTTTAATTCATCTATGTACATTATTTGATGAGGTGCTATAGGGGTTCTCAAATTGTGGTCCCTAGACAAGCTTAGTATCTCTAGGGAACTTGTTAGAAATGCAGTTTTGGTCCTGCCCAGAGCTGAATCAGAAACTATGTGAATATGATCCAGAAGTCTGTGTTTCAACAATCACTACTTGCCCTCTGATGAACATTAAAGGTTGAGAACCACTGCTTAAGAGAAACAGCTATTGGTGGTGTGTTTTTTTAAGAGAACACTTTGAGTAACTTCTTTAGTGGCAATATCTGCTGCTATTTACAACTATGCAGCTTTCATTTCCCCTTTAGTGATCTCCACAGTGATTTAAGAGTTATCATTATCCTCTGTGTTAGTAGCCCATGAATCTGCTACTTCATGTGATGGGCATGTCCCGAGAAGTTTCCCTGGGATCCAGTATACATTAAAGAATGAATGTATATTATGAACTCCTTAAATGTTCTTGCAATAATTTCCTTCATCCTTGCTATTTTGAAGGGAGTGGGGGGAAAAGGAGACATAAAGTTATCTATCTTAATCTTTGTTGGCAAGAATAAACTATTGGAAACTGAGAGGCCATTATTGTAGCCAGTAGAAAGATGTTTGAGCCAAAAACCTGAATATATGGATTTAGTCTTGCCTTTGTCATTATTGAAGCGCCTTGGGCAAATGAAATAACTTGACATAAACCTTGGGGGACTATATTATTTGTCTCTGGTTAGTTTTTTTTCCTGATAGCTTGGATTGCTGGTGTCGAGATGATTTTCTGTCCCATTAATGAGGTACCAAGGAAAAAACAAGGTATGGATGTACATTCTTTATTCGCCTATTATGAGAAATTCAGCTATAGCAAGAGATCCCTCAGAAACAGCTATAACAATTATATTTTATATAATATACATATATTTTAAATATAGTAATGTTACATGCAGTAAACATTACATTTCAAAAAAAAAGTTTAAAATATAAAGTATTTCCAAAACTGTCCTAATAGTATAATATCACAAAAGTTGTAGGAGATATTAAAAATCTGAAATAACAGAATTACTTCTACTATATTCTAAAATGTTTTATTTCTCTGGCTCTATTTTTGTTCATCAGTTAATGTTCATTGTATTCCACAAATGAGTGAGGTCATGTGATATTTATCTTTCTCTGATTGGCTTATTTTGCTTAGCATAATGCTCTGCAGGTCCATCCTTGCTGTTGCAAATGGTAAGAGTGCCTTCTTTTTCACAGCATAGCAGCATAGTATTTTCCATTGTGTAGGTATACCACAGTTTTTTAATCCAGTCATCTGCTGATGGGCACTTAGGCAGTTTCCAAATCTTAGCTATTGTAAGTTGTGCTGCTATGAGCATAGGGATGCATGTATCCTTTCTGATTGTTGTTTCTATTTCTTGGGATATATTTCTAGAAGTGGGAGTTCCATTTTTAATTTTTTGAGGAAACTCCATACTGTCTTCCACAGTGGCTGCACCGGTCTGGCAGTGTAAGAGGGTTCCTTTTTTTCCACATCCTTGCCAGCACTTGTCATATGTTGATTTGTTGATGATAGCCATTCTGACAGGTGTGAGATGATACCTTATTGTCGTTTTGAATCTTTTGGATGATTAGTGACTTTAACATGTTTTCATATGTCTCTTGGCCTTCTGTATGTCCTCTTTTGAAAAGTGTCTATTTAGGTCCTTTGCCCATTTTTTGATTGGATTGTTTATCTTTTGTTAAGTTGTATGAGTTTCCTGCAAATTTTGGAGATTAAACCCTTATAGGAAATAACATTGGCAAGTATGTTCTCTCATGCAGTGGGTTTTCTTATTGAGAAACAGATGACTTTGAATTGAGAAACATTTGTGGGCTTTGAATCTCCAAGTTCTTTTATGTCCCTGAGAATGGTAGGAGGCAGTTTATTTTTGTGGTAAAGGCTTTGGAGTTAGGCTTTGAGTTCAAATCCTGGCTTCATCATATACCATTTGAACTTGACTTCTTTGGACTTTAGTTGCTTCATTTGTAAGTTGGAGTTAGTGTAAGGTTTGAAGGAAATAACATATTTATAGATTTTTAGCATAGGTTGTGGTAGGTGTAAAGGCTCAGTAAGTGGCAGCTTTATTTTTGTACTATTAAAAGCATTCCAGTTTGGTATCCCAGTTTTCATTATAATATGGATCAAGAATAAGGATCAGAATAGTTTTTTGTACTTTGACTTTATTTAAAAGTATTCTTAAACCTATATCACTGAGAAATTATTCTCCCATTTGGTTTTTGACAGAGCATGTTAATATTCCAGCTTATGAAAATGATGTCTTTACTTTAGGGGATGATGAGCAGAGTGATTGGTTCTATGAAGGAGAGTGTGTTCCAGGATTCACTGTCCCTAATCTTCTGCCCAAGTGGACTCCTGATCATTGCTCTGAAGTAGAAAGAATGGATTCTGGATTGGATAAACTCTCAGACTCCACATTCCTTTTACCTTCTCGGCCAGCTCAAAGAGGTGAGTTCTGAGGAGACCAAAGTATACCTCCGCTTTTATGGTTCTCTTTGGGTAGAATCATCCCATGGTATGCATATTCCTTCCTTTAAGCATGTATTAACTATCTGAATTTTGGAGCTAATCCAGAGATTTTTGTAGAGGATTTAAGCGTAAGTCTTGAAGCTTGAGGTTCTCTTTATTCTTACCTAAGACAATCCTTTATTCTTACCTAAATCAATGTCCTGAAAGAAAGCGGGGCATTTCTTCAGCTTGCTGTTGCCATTTGTGTCAGTTTTAGGAAGGAGGAGAGGAGTGGAGGAGGAGAGAGAGATAGAAACATCAATGATGAGAGAGAATCATTGATCGGCTGCCTCCTACATGCCCCCTACAGGGGATCGAACTCACAATCTGACATGTGTCCTTGACTGGAATCGAATCCGGGACCTTACATTCCGCAGGCTGACGCTCTATCCACTGAGCCAAACTGGCTAGGGCACAGTAGCACTTTTTGAATGGATGATTTAAAAATATTCTTTAAATTTTAAAAATTCTCTTATTGTGGGCTTTATAGCACAAATACACATTCCTTCCCTTTGCTTTTCCTTCAGTGATGATGTAGCAAAGTAGAGTGGAAGGAGCTGGACAGGAAGAAGGAAAGGTGATAATACTGTCTGGGAGTGTCTGTCTAGCTCTGTGACTGACGGTCACCTCATTTCCTTGGGGTCTTAAGGTCATTTAAGATATTGATCAGTGATTCTCAACATTGAATAAAACGGTTTGAGAGGTTTCTTTTAGCTCTGTAAATTTATGATTGTAGAATTCTCAGTAGTTAATAATCAATTAGTCAGTTATCAAGTATTTTTTGAACATCTGTTGGTGATCAGAATGTCACTAAGCTGTAAACTCCTGTAGCATTTCATGATGAATGTGGTGGTTGAAAGGCTTTCTCAAAGAAATTGGTTCTTGATAAAGAGTACTCTCTGCCTGAGGAACATTGTTTGCTACCTTAATAATGTTTATCAAACATTTCCATGACCATGTCTAAAAGTTCTTTATAGACTAGTTGAAATAAACACAAATAAGCAAGAATCGGAAGAAGGAACTTTAAAAAATGGCCTGTAATCTCATATCCAGAGACTGTGCCATTGATAACATTTTGGTGTGGTTCTTCCAGTTGTCTTTTTCTATGTGTAAAACACATACAGCAGTCAGAAAAATGGGATTGGCTCATTCATGCTATTTTTACCATTATTTAATGAATTAGAATGGCTTTAAGTTAATAACTAGCATTTAACTTACAGTTATAAATTATTGTTAATGCCTCATATATTTGTCTAGTTGTTTTTTATTTTTTTTTAGTTTATTAGTACCTTCCATGTGCTATTTCATTTGGTTTCAAACATCACTATAAGATAGACCTGAGCAAGCAGATATCCCTCTTTTACAGATGAGGATGCCTAGGTCAAAGGTAAGTGGCATGCCTGAGATCATACTACTGGTGACAGAACATGGAGATAGTAAATCCTTGACAGATAGCCTGGTGATACTAGTTTAAGGGTCAGACTAGTAGATCCTGGATGAGAGGGACTCTCGTCTACTAGAAGCATGTCACTGCTAATGAATCTTCTACATTTAGTTACTGAGAACTGCCTTTTTTTGTTGTTGTTTTAGGGTACCATTCTCGCTTGAATCGTCTGCCTGGAGCTGCTCGATGTCTCAGAAAGGGGCGAAGGAGGCTTGTTGGGAAGGTGATGGCTCTTACTATTTACACGCTCAGTGGGAGGATAATATTCCTTTGGGGATTTGTGTACTCTCTTGATAATAAAAGGTGCTGCACATTATACCCTGGAATATTTTGCAAGTTCCTAAGAGTGAACGTTATGTAGGATATGGATGGATAAACACATAAAGGATGAAGTTTAATTCATATAGAACTTCTGACAAAGCAAATACTGTCATTATGACAATATCTGTTGCCTATAAATCTACAGGCCAGATCTTTCTCTATTCTGTTTTTTTTAAATTTATATGATTATTATGTAAGTTAAAACACTTGATATTTTTATGACTCCTCCTGAATTCATGGGTGCTTCTTTTGTCCTACCTTTAGTCTTTAAAATTCATTACAAAGACAAAACTTGGAAAGAAATTTTCAAATTTCAAAACCACCTCACTGTCCATGAGGAAGGAATATCTGCTTACTCAGGTCTGCCTTTTCCAGTGATTGTGCTCGGCACTTACTTCATTTAATCCCCCCAACAACCTTGAAAAAAGGTGCTATTCTTCTTTAGCAGGTAAAAAAAACTTGGGTTCAAAGATGTTCAGTAACGTCTGGTGTTATCCAGGTAGAAGTGGCCGAGTAGAGAGCTGAACCCAGGTCTACTTCTCTTTTTTAATTAAATTAAAAAATTTTTTTTCACGTTAGCTTTGAGATTGAATATAGGTTAAGATTGGGGCTCATAGTCAGAGAAGATGGTGGCGGGCAAAGAGTAAGAAAGAGAGTGGCACTTTAAAGCATTAATTAGTTGGTTTACTCAGTAAGCATTTAGAATGCCTATGTGGCAGGCTCTGTGCCAACTTGGTTATGTATAGTAGTCAGAGCCACAGTCTGGCTTACCTCAGAGAGTTATTATCTTATAATTTAATCAGGGAATTATTTTTTGAAGTTTTATTAGTAGTCATTCAAAATGAGGCTAATTTTTATTATATGTATTCATCGATGAGAATCCAGATGAACTTAGATTCTTTTTATCTTTAAATTCACTTTCAAATGTTTAATTAGAAAGACATTTGATTATTGAAAGAACGATGCCTTTTTTTGGGTCGCTCATTTTCCCGACACTAAAAGGCTGCCTGTTATTCTGAGTGACTATTCTTGACAGCTAGCAGGGTATAAGTGAGTACATGGGGATGGAAGGAAACAGGAGGTTGGCAGTGGGAAGCAGAGGGATGGTTTGATTTTTTTTCTCTTTATTAGTTAAGTTTGACAACAGTTTTTTCCTACTGCCTACCTTATTTTGTTTCAGATCCTATAAAAATAAGAGCCTTTCACTTCCATGGAAGTAAATCAGAACAACTTGAAGGCTTCCTTTAGTTTGCCTGGAAGAAAACTAGAGCCTTTTGGATGTCTCTAAGGATTGCAAATGAATAGAATAATATTTACTTGTTTAATTCATCTTCATCACCTTAAAGGGATATTTGTCATTTCTACTAGAGGTCACTATTCTGCCTCCCTTCCCCCCCCCCCCATGCCTCTAATTTTTTTCTAAATTGTAATCATAAATAATGAGTTTCATTCACAGCTCCCTGCTAGCGAGCTGCTAATTACGCAAAGTACTGCTTGTAATTTACACAGTAATAAACTGTAAATTTAAACATTACGGCACTTTAAGTTAATAATTTTTTTGCTGTAACAAATAGCTCATTTTTCACTTATCTTTTCCCTTGGCCCCACTACCATGGCTGTGTCTGTGACCAGGAGGCACAAGTATAGGGATGACGAGTATGAATACAGTATGTGAAACCTTTTCATTTACCTCCACTCCTGCCCAAAATCTGACCTCAAATTGATTTTTTATTAGTTCTGCTAAAATGTGTATCCTGATATTTAGGCTAATTATGCACATAGATGAATACAGATAATATTTGTCCAGAAACAAATGCATTTGAGTAGCAGGCTTGACATTCTTGACAAGCATGCCTTGTGACTTACACTCATCTTAACACTCATATTTGTGTAACTCTTATTTATACACTGCTGTGTGCTTCCCCACAGTGATAGATACTCATTGTAAACTAGAGGCCCGTTGCATGAAGATTCATGCAATAGGCCTTCCTTCCCTGGCTGCCAGCACCAGTTTTCCTCTGGCACCAGGGACCCAGGCCTTCGCTCTGGCCGCAGCGGAGAAGCCAAGCCTAGAGCCTTCTTCTCTCTGGATGCAGTGGAGAATCCAAGCCCTTTAGTCTTCAGTATGCACACCCATGTATGCAAATTAACCTGCCATCTTTGTTGGGCTAATTTGCATACTCTGGTTGGTGGGTGCATCCGATGTACAACCAATTTGCATATTTCTCTATTATTAGTGTTGATATGCTCACGTTAAATGAAGGGTGAGTGCCTTCTGCCATTTTCCAGTTTTTTAGAGATGATGAGGTTTTGAATTGCTTGTAGTGTTAGGGTAATATTTCATGTTGCAAACTCAAACCCCAAATTTAGAAAACAATTTATGCAAACTTCTATTTCTTGTTTTAAGAGATGACATTTAACAGACAAAATACAGGTGACAGTTTTTGTAAGTTGCAAAAATTCTTTGCTATGTATATACATTTACTTACCGTAGTAGATATTTAACCCTTTGCACTCCGAACCATTCTGGACATTGGCTACCAGCTACTCGATGCTAATGGCGGAAACGTGCGTTGAATTAACTCAATTCCCCGTAATCACTAATAAACTGCAATGTCCCCTGAGAGGGGACATCCGAGTGATATGCTAGAATTCCGATGTCCCCTGAGAGGGGACAGCGGAGTGCAAAGGGTTAAGTGTTACTAGTGAGGACTCTGTAAATGGATGTTCTGCTGGTCTGTTAAAAATGAGCTGCTGTTGGATTTTTTTAAAAAGTGTTTTTATTTCTATATACTTGAATACCTCCAGGAGATATTACTATTATAAAATACTATATATAGTAAACAATGTTTATAACAACTGTGCTGTGCCAGCATGGGCAAGGGTGAACCTGAGGAGGGGCAGTGAAGGCTTGAAGAAAAGACAGGAGAATCCAGCTGGGTCTTTTGTGAGGACACAGCCTGCAAGATGATGCTTTATTTTATAGACAGCTTAAAACAAGGGTAGATTAACATGTAGACAAATGTTCGTTTTGGTGACACTCGCTGCACCTCCCAAAGTCCATTATCTACTTAGGAAGGAATTGGGGAAGGCTACAAGGTCAGGCTTAATTGTGCTAGGAGAGCTCTGCTTTCGAGGCTGGGACTTGTTTGTGGCCCTGCTACAGGTCAGCTTGACCATAGAGCTGCTCCCTACAAACAACTTTTTTGAAAGACTAAAGAAAAGTAAGTCTAGGGTAACATGAAATACTTATTTTAAAAACTGATTTTTAGAGAGAGGGGAAGGGAGGTGGAGAAAGAGGTTGGTTGCCTCTGCACACACCCCAACTGGGCTGGGATTGAACCACGGATACTGGTAAATGCCCTGACTGGAAATTGAACTGCGACCTTCCAGTGCTTGGGATACTCCAACCAACTGAGCCACACTGGCCTTTTGAACATGAAATACTTTTAAGTTAGATTCTCATAAAAAGAAATATACTTGCCGAAACCGGTTTGGCTCAGTGGATAGAGCGTCGGTCTGCGGACTGAAAGGTCCCAGGTTCCATTCCAGCCATGTACAATACATTGATTGCAGGCACATCCCCAGTGTGGGGAAGGAGTGCAGGAGGCAGCTGGTCAATGTTTCTCATCGATGTTTCTAGCTCTTCCTTCCTCTTAGTAAAAAATCAATAAAATATAATAAAAAAATATATATATTTGCTGTTAGGTTTTAAGATTGACATTTGAATACATGTGCCTTTGAAGTTGCTGGCACATTTATGGGAAAGTGTGAGCTTGATGACAGGTTTGCTTTATATATTTGTTTCTGTGGTTAGATGACACTTATCTTCCTTGTCTTTTCAGGAGACCAGCATAAGTACTTTGGGTACTGAGCGGATAGGCCACATCATTAGTGACTCCCGGCAGAAAGAGTAAGTGCTTATGTATTTACTGGATATTCCAATCTGTTTCTTGGAGAAGGAAGAAGTAGAAAGTTTTATAAAGAAACCTAGAAATCTGACTTCAGAGCTGAAAAAGAAGATTTTTTTTTTTAACTATATTTTTATTTATTTTAGAGAGGAATGGAGAGGGGGAGAGAGAAACAGCAATGAAGAGAGAGAATCATTGACCAGCTGCCTGCACGCCCCCTTTTAGGGATCGAACCCACAACCCAGGCCTGTGCCTTTGACTGAATCCAACCTGGAACCCTTCAGTTCACAGGTCAACGCTCTATCCACTGAGCCAAACCAGCTAGGGCCTGAAAGAAGAGATCTTAAAGTCAATATGGGTAATGCTCTAAACCAGGCGTCTTCAAACTACGGCCTGCGGGCCACATGCGGCCCACCAGGTTTTTTGGGCAGTGAACGCAGCCGAGGTGTTACAGTAGGAATTAGTAGTTCATATAGTCCAGCCCTCCAGCTCTCTGAGGGACCGTGATCTGGCCCCCACTTTAAAAAGTTTGAGGACGCCTGCTCTAAACCTATGAGAGTTACTATTTTTTTCCTTTCTAGACTAGTTTTTATTTCTTTGCTTTTTTATATCTATAGGTGCTGCATTTTAAAAATAGCCTCCAGTGAAAATGCTACATTTTATTTATTTATTTATTAAAAAATTTTTTTTTAAATATATTTTTATTGATTTTGTACAGAGAGGAAGGGAGAGAGATAGTTAGAAACATCGATGAGAGAGAGTCATCGATCAGCTGCCTCTTGCACACCCCTATTGGAGATATGCCCGCAACCAAGGTACATGCCCTTGACCGGAATCGAACCCGGGACCCTTCAGTCCCCAGGCCGACGCTCTATCCATTGAGCCAAACTGGTCTCGGCAAGATGCTACATTTTAAACTAATTTTTCTGTCTTAAACTTGTTTCTGTTCAAAATGGGTGATTGCTTCTACATTTGCTTATATTCCCTTCTCATTTTTAGACCTCTATATAGAGAAATTTTTTTTTTGTCCTAACTACTGTGATAAATACAACTAAAAAGCCCGTGTGTAGCTATGGAATAGTTATTCCATCCCTTCTTGTGACAGCCTGGTCCTCTAACATGATTGGCTCTTTGATGTCTCCTGAACAGGTCATGGTCAGTACTCGGTAATGATCTATACCTATCTAGACTGGGTGAACTTTTAATGTACAAAATAGACAAAATGTGCATGTAGTTTATGCCCTTGTTGAATTGAAGACCCTGTTGTCACTGCACAGCTGAGAGCATTGTTTTCACAGTCTAATCAGAGGTTTCTTTATAGAGTGTGCAGTCTTTTACATTCCATTACAAGGCTTTTTCCTTTGAAGAGTTATTTTCTGCAAAAAGTTCAGACACATTAACATCTCTATTCTTTTTTTTTTTTTTTTTTTAATATATTTTATTGATTTTTTGACAGAGAGGAAGGGAGAAGGATAGAGAATTAGAAACATCGCTGAAAGAGAGAAACATCAATCAGCTGCCTCCTGCACACTCTCCACTGGGTATGTGCCCACAACCAAGGTACATGCCCTTGACCGGAATCAAACCTGGAACCCTTGAGTCTGCAGCCCAGTGCTTTATCCACTGACCCAAACTGGTTAGGGCACATCTCTTTTCTTTTTTCCTCAAATTCATTCTTTTCCCATTTCTGTCTTTGTCTTTTCTTCATTATGCCAACATCCTTTTATTTTCTCCCTCGCTCTGTAATTTTCCTACCACTTCTTTTATGTTTTCTTCACTGTTATTCTCTCCCTCTCTCTAGTGTCTGGTTACCTTCAGTTGGGAAAAGGGAACGAAATCAGGTAAGGTCTTTTCTTTGTTGTTTCTATTTTACACTTAATTTTCTTTTCTTTAGAAAGAATAAAGTGTTGGCTTCTGATTTTCCTTCTCTTTCTGCTTGTGCACATGAGGTAAGGTTCTCCTATGTTGTTCTCATTTTTTTGGAGGACTGTTGCCCAAGAATAGGTACTCACTGATAAGACCTATAGCTACTTGTTAAGTTCAGTTGTAATCTTTAGTTTATTACTTGTAACACATATTTCAAAGGAATCCCATTTTTATTTTAGTTCAAAACTTTGCAGTAAGAAATCAGAATGAACCTCATCTGCTTATTGTTTAGTTAAGCAGTAGACTCTTAGGCTGAGAAGCCTACACATATTAAACAGAAGAAGGTAGAGCTGTTTTGAGTGAAATGGGGTTGAGGACTTAGAGCCTTGCCCTCTTAGACTTGTCCCTAGCTATCCACTGAGGGAGCCCTTGACACATCTAGCTCTTTGTTTTAGGGGTCATAATTTAAAAACTATTGATAGTTCCTTTATGTTTGAAGCTTTTGATTTTGGAAGAGAGTTTGCTTTATCTTGGTGATTAGTTATAAAATAATGTAATCATTATATCAAACTTGTTATTTCATAGAACTAGAGTAAAGACAATGCTGAATAATAATAATTGATATAAAAAATATTAAATAGTGCAGGTGGTGGCCAAGTATGGAAAAAGTCATTAAGGTCGTATGTGAAAGACTTTAGTTTGGGGAACTCCAAGCTAGAATGCTCATCCTGGTTGCATCTGAGGATCTAAAGGCAGACGGGATCTTTGGGGATGTACTATTTACAGATGAGGTTTAATCTGTTTGTCCCAAGTCATAGAGCTCATAGAATCATGAAACCTCTGACACAGAGAACAGTTCCATAGTTTGTATTCTCTTAAGTTCTTTTGTAATGACCATTTGGAGTTCTTTCAGTCTTTAGTTCTGAAATTTTGGTTATTGTGGAAAAAGTCCAAAGAAAGTAGAAAAGATAAAGTAAGGTACTTTTGTGTGTAGTGTCCCATTCGATCCTTGCAACAACTTTTTGAGGTCCATAGATGTTTTATAGATGATAAACTGAAATCCTATGTAATAAAAGCCTAATATGCAAGTCGACTAAACGGCAGAACGACCGGTCACTATGATGTTCACTGACCACCAGAGGGCAGATACTCAGTGCAAGATCTGCCGCCAGTCACAGAGACCAGTAGCAGTGGCAGGGGGCCGGGCTGGCGAGTTGGTGACACCAGGCCAGCCAAGGCAGGTGTCAGTAGGGGCTCCCTGATTGCCCTGCTAGTCACCCCGCAGATCGGCCCTGATTGCTGGCCAGATCTAGGGACCCTGCCTGTGCATGAATTTCATGCACTGGTCCCCCTGGTTACTTTATAAACTGTGAAAGCAATATTTCATTCAGCCCTCATAAAAGTCCTTTACAATAGGTAAGACAGAAAGCAGTACTTTCATTTCCCAGGTGAGGATAGTAAAGTTTAAAGTGATTATGCAGTTTTTAATACATGACAGTTCAGTTGGTAGACTGGAACTAAACATTCATTATTCTAATTTTTAATGTAGTTCTGTTTACACTATGATGCTGGTATGTGCTAACCAGTTATTTGCTAGGATAAGGAAATGAAAAGGTAATTTTATGCTAGTTTTCTTAGCCCCAACGGGATGATAATCAACAGAAGTAAGTTTCCGTTATGTCAGTTATAAAGTACAGTCGACCCTTGAACAACATTCATTTGAACTGTGCAGGTTGTCTTATACACAAATTAAAAATATACTGAAGTATATTTTCTTTTTTTTATGATTTTCTGAGTAACTTTTTTTTCTTAGCCTTCTTACAGGAATATAGTGTATAATACACAGAGCATATAAACTATATGTTAACAGACTGTTTATATTATCAGCAAGTCTTCTGGAAAACAGTAGGCTGTTAGTAGTTAAGTTTTTAGGAAGTCAGAAGTATACGTGAATATTCAAGGGTCCACTGTACTGTCCTCTGCTATTTAAGTGATTATTGCTTATCAGAAGTTTTTGAAAAAGAATAGTTTTTGGGGGTGGTAGATGAGGTGTGCTAGGGTACATACACTGTTGGATGTTCAAAACCTTACTTAAGGGTGTCTGTGGGACAGCAAAGGAGTTGAACGGTAAAAGCGAAAAAGTAATCAAGTATCAGGTTACTCTTTCTAATTCTGTCTGTTTCATAAATGCTTTACTAAAATAACTTTATTCATTATTGCAGTTTAATCCCCTCTCTCCGCTTTACTCCCTGGATGTTCTCGCTGACGCTTCTCACCGACGGTGTTCACCTGCACACTGCTCTGCCAGGTAATTGTCTTCTTGCGACTGTTTCTTCCAGACAATGCCATTTTTCTTTTTACAATACCTTTTAAATTATAAAATGTGTTTGTGTATAGTGTCTTTACAACAACCTTTTGAGGTCAATGTTTTCAGATGCAGAAACTGAGGCAAAGTAGCAAGGTATTTCTCTATGGTCATGTGACCAGTATGTGATTTAAGTTTCAACTTTGACCTAGTTTTCTGGCTCATATTTCATATTTCTTCTACAAGCCCCATCTTCAGAGACATTATTAATGATCCTTGCCATGACCTGCAAAATTATGCATAATCTGACTTCTGCCTGTATATCCAAACCCCTTTCATAAACTTCTTCCATCTCCACTGGGGGAGGGATCCAGCTGCACCAGGGAGCACCATTTTGTTTTTCAAAAGTAGCAACCCTTTCCTGCCTCTGAACCTTCACACGTGCTCTCTTTACTTGGACTATGGTCTTATAGCAGTTCCCCGGATTGGCTTTTTCTCATTTCAGCCTCCTCAGGGGGAACCGCTCAGACCATCCTGTTTAAAGGGGCCACCTCTACCACTCGCTTATTATCTGTTTCTTTTCTTTTCTTTTTTTTTTTTTTGAGCTTTAACATTGTCTAAAATGACTTTGTTTATTGGGCTTCCCCCACCCCCAACTATACTATAAACTTCAAAGTGCAAGGGACCTTGTCTTGTTTCCTGATATATCCCCAGCATCTAATGCTGTGTCTAGCACTTACTAGGCATTTAGTATACATTTGTCAGAATGAATCCTGAGCCCACATAGCAGAATGAATTTAGCGCCTCTCAATATAAATTCTCTTAAGTTGTGTGACATGGAAAGTAAATATGGTTTTTATTGTAGCATCTGCCAGCAGGACTATTGTGTACAAAAGAGCAGTTAATAGGCTGAACCAAAGGACTTTTTCTGTTTATAGTAGTACAGTGAATTTCTTTCCAAGGTTCTGATGATTTTCCCCCCTAATATGTTCTTAAACGGATGTGTTTAGAGTGCACAAAGAAGTTATTCTTTCATGGATATAAGTAGAACTTCCACTGTGGGCTATAACAAACTCTGTATCATAAACTGCTGCCAGACCTTCTAGGAGAAGTAGTATTTAAATGGGGAAAGTCTTTTGAAAAGAGAGACCATCACAAATGGTGTTACTAGGAAAGTGGAAAATTGTGGGATGTTGATAAACTACTATATGGCCTTTTCTTCAGTAGATTGCAATTTATTCATCATTCATTCATTCATTCATTCAACATTTGCTGACACCCTACTACGTGGCAGGGTCTTTGTTGAGGTAATACCTTAAGGAGCTCCTATTGTCGTGGGAAAGCCAGGTGTGGAAATTGACAATTGCAATATGGAGTAATAAGTGCATACAGGTTTGCACGACATTGATATGAAGCACAGAGGAGGGGCTTTCTAGCTTAGAGGCTCAGGGAGGTTTTCTTAGAGGAGGTTTGTGCAAGCTATCTTGGAGACACAAAATTTCAATCCCTAAGTAAGCAATCCTCAAGCTTTTGTCTTAATACCAAATGAAATAATGGCCTTGTATACTTTTTTGGTAAGACTATAAGAAGCACTGCATCATGTCAGATGCTGAAAGTGGATTATTAGCCTTCTTTCCTTTACCTCTGCTACCTTGAGCTGTGCTGTGCTCAATATCCATGCTTTTATCAGGTTTGCTGTTGCCTTTAAAACCTTATCCCCTTGGAGTGAGTGTCAATTTCTTGTATTTTTATGTTTTTCATTATCCATATCATTATTTTCATTCTCTTGCTGGCAGTGCTTGTAGCTAGATTTGGAAGTATAATGAAGTCTAGGTTTGCTTTTGGGGCACTCAGCTCCAGGGAAATGTTGCTTATTGCTCTCCACCCTGCCTAAAAGCAAGGGGAGAGAATATGGACAATTACAGCTCATAGCTTGTCCTTCTAGACATCATTTCTAGGGTAGTGGATACAAAGTGAGTTCTTTGGGAGAAGGGGAAGGCAAAGTGTTTACATTTACATTTATTTATTTTCTTATCCTTAATTCTTTTTATTAAATCGTTCATATGTAGTCTAGCGGCACATAATTGTCCTCTTACAGCTATTTCTTTTTTTTTTTTTTTTTTTTTTTGTTAAATGAAAATAAAGGAAATTTATTACCTGTATATGGTACGGTAGTACGGTAGTTGTCAACACAAACCAGACAAACTGAGAATCGTACTGTATCAAGAATTTACTCATTTATTCAAGGACAATCATGTCAGTCTTCTGGAACATCATCATAACAATCCAATTCCTGAATTTCCTGGTGAATTTATTGTGACTCCATTTCTCTCAGAATCAGTGGGTCTTACAGCTATTTCTTGCATGCAGTGTCATATATTACATATATATGGTGGGTTCGTTCAAACTTTTTACAAATGAGGTGCACTAAAGTTTGGTGACCACTAATCTATGGGAATGATCAGCACAAGTGATCTCTATGCAGTGTTCAGAATCTGTGGATGGTGAGACACTGAGCTCCTGGGGCTCCCTCTCCTGCCTTTGGAATAGTGGGGTTCCTGCTGGCAAGGGCTCATAAAGAAGAAGCAGTCTAGTTTCATGTGACTGAGGGATGAGAGTGGGTTCAGAACTGGATGGTGGGATTTGTGAAAAGTGGACGACTTAACAAAGCTTGTCACCTAGAAAGGGGAATGTTAAAAGAGTGGCGGTAGGGAAGAGGCAGGTGAATGACGGGATAGAAAACTGTTTCTAATGGAAATTTTATCTTTTTCTTGTTCCATTTTATCTGTAGTAGGAAAAATTTCTTTCAAAGCATCTGGGCAGCCCTGGGAATTTCACACCCATCATTAGAACGATTTGTGTGTGTGTGGTGACTATGTTATCATTAGTGGTATAATTTTATTTGGCGGAGAGAGAAGTGTTTCCTGTTTTATCACAGCTTTCCCTGAGGAGGGCTGGTGTATTAATTTGCTGTATTGCCTCCTGGCTGTTCCCAGGCTGTTTTTCCTCTTCATCATGGAATTTTTAATGGCCCTAGTGCCTCTCGGGAAGCATGTGAGGAAGAGTTCCTCAGGGAGTGCTTTTCTTTTTTCACATGCCTATAATTACTCTCCTTTAAGAGCACAAAGAGTTTGATAACCGTGTCTGAACTGTGAAGGTTTCCTCCGCCTGGTTATTGAGCTGAGGCTCTTTCCTGCCTGGACTTGGCCAATTCCGCAGTCCTCCACACTCTACTGCAGAGAGTGAGGAGCCTTTACCCACCTCCTCTCTGCCGCATCCTAAGACAGCTCTGGTTTTCAGCAGGAGGCCTGGAGGCCGCTTGGGGGCTATGAGTGACTTTCTTGTTTAGTATTTCATTGCTATAAACAAAGAAATAATGAGACCGAGATTTTTAAGAGGTCATTTTATTGATGTTTCATTTTAATACAGCCCAGATGGCAGGCACAATGGATGGGGGGGAAGAGTCTTTGTGGAGGTTGTGCCACCTTATAGATTTGTGGGATAAGAGGTTTTCAGAAATACCACTTTAGGAATACTTAATTTGGTGGTTTTCAAATCTGGCTGCACTTTTGAATCACCTGAGAACCTTTAAAAAAAAATATCCACGCTGGGTCCCACTTCCCATGATTATGACTTAATTGGCCTGGGATGAGTCCCAGGCACTGGCATTATTTTAAAGCTCCCTGTGACTCTGATATGCTGCCAGGGTTAAGAACTATTGCCCTAGATGCATATGGTTTTATGAGTGGTGCTTTGTAATTTGCTTAACGGGAAATCTCATAATTGGCATGAGCTCTGTGCTTTGATATTGTGAGCATGATTTTTTGTGGGAGGTAGAACACGGGACATCTCTTAGCTTTAAGAACTTCTGTCAGTGAGAAGAGTGTTAGGGGTTAGCTCGGTGCTTTGCACGCAGTGATTAACATGTGGGAGGAGTTGCTGGGTGGGGTTATGGATGAAATTCTTAAACCAGATGTTTAGGTTTGGTTATTTAGGTTGCTAGTATTGGACTGTTACTATTAAAATAGTTTATACTTGGTGCTGGTGTTAAGAATTGCTGCTGCTCCAGCAGATGGTGTGATTGGTGTTCTGGTAGAGGCAGTAGTATTGCTGTCAGGAACTCAGAGAATAGTAATAAGGAGCTAGTGCTGTAGGCAGCTTTTCCCAAAATGACAGTTATTGATTATCCAGGATAGCTTTTTTACCATTATTGCCTTAGAAAACCCAAACTGGAGCTTACCAGCTGCTATATCTCTCTGCATGATGCACAAGTCACCAGTTACAGTTTTTGAATGTCACATGGCAGCTGTGGGTTTTGTTTTCCTTGCGTTTTGGTAATGCATCACCATTTCCATTTATTTCTTGTGAAGCTCTCAGTCTCATATTAGTGGATACTAAACCCAGGTAAGACTCTTGGCTTTACCTGGGCAAATGACTTGACCTTACCATACCTCAATTTCCTCATCTGTAAAATAGAATATCAATATTTGTTGGTCTAGTGATCAAAATGAAATGTATATTTGAATATTTCATATACTAGTAGCTAATATTATTTTTGTTATATAGTTACTACCTTACCTTGTCCTTAGGATAATTAAAGTTTTACAAACTGAGTTGGCTTCCAGAAGCTGTTCACTAATGAGATGTGTACAGATTCTTGAGGTGCTTAAATGGCCTCAAATGGACTATAAGAGGAGGCATTTGGACTGTATATGGGTATAAAAGAGAGACCTTCCTGCCCATTAGAGATTTGAAATATGATAGGCTGTGCTCATTGTAATTCATTTTATCTGTTCACAAGCGTTATGATCTGCATATCAGAGTTGTGTGCCCAGCTGGCTGTGCCATTTGACAAGGAGTTTCAAAGAGCAAGAAGAAGACTCAATTCATGCTATTATTTCTGACCTTTGGAGCCATAGTAAACAGCCCCAGGTTTTACCTCGGGGCTTGGGGGAAAGAACCTTTTGTTAGTCCTCTGTCTGTTGGGGATGCTGTGATGCCCA